TATCAATAGGGATTTTCCGTTCTTTGGAAAATGATTACAATAATCTGTCTATTTGTATTTGTAGTTATCAAGAATTACTCACTCATAACCTCTCCATAGAAATCTATGAATGATGAAAGAAAATAAAAATATATTTTTGATTCTGATTAATAATAAGGGCTGTGTACAAAAGGTGACTTTTCTTTAAATTTATCCTTAAGTTAAATCCAAAAGGTGTATATAAAATTTAATTTGTGGTCACATATTTCTCTTTTAAGGCTTTGAATTTGTAGGGCTGGTTCAATGATAACCTAGGCTGTATTCCATATTTCTCGAGAGACCTATAGGCAGTGGAATAGTATCAAATTCATAGTTGCAATTGGCTATTTCCTCATTTCTAATTTTATCTAACAATTAAACCCTTCCCTGTTACGATAGTCCATCTGTATTTAAGAACGTCACTATTGCTAAGACCAGTAGCAATGTATAAATCACGCACATATTTCGACAATCAACCATCAAAATTTCAATTATTTCTCTTTGTTCAAGCAGTTAAATAGCTGTTAAGGAAGAAGTAAAGTGTATATTGAGTCAACTGTCCTAAAGAGATTAACGATTGTCTATACTTCTAAAGTACACAGAGCAATTGTTAAAATCGATCAAATGTTGTGAGCAGAGAATTATTTTATCTGACTTTTAATAATAATACAAACCAGCTGCAAAATAAAGCAGATTCGTTAAACACAGAGAGGAACAGAGAGGAAGATAATGGGAATCAATGTATTGTGTAGCTAGATAATTAATTAAAAGTTTAATTATCTGATAACGAATACAAAGTCATGTTGGTACTGTACAAGTGCACTATAGTAAACAAGAATCATATTTGGGGCGCAATTCTACTCTTTTATTAATTAATTTTATCACTTTGCAATGATTGAAACCATTATACTCCATAAAGCGAAACAAAAACATATTGTAAATTCCTTAAGATTTGTCAAATGCTCATAAAAGAAACATTTCTTTCCTTGAAAACTTATAACCTAGAATTAAACCTTCTTTGATATACTGTTTACAGGGACATTTTCGCCCACGTTTAATTTTCGCTATTTTCGCCCTAGACAAATGTGAGCGATTTAAGTCGAGGGAACTCACAGAAATCGCTATATATTCTTAAACATACCAGCCACAGGGCGCATTCAATACAGGACAAACTTGTTTGCAATCATTAAAAGTCAAAAATAACCTGTGTACAGTGAGCTCATAAAATTATTTTAAAATCATAAAGTAAAAATATGTAATTAGGGGTTAAGGGGAAATATCTTTATGCATATTTTGATGGAAAAAAAAACAAGTGAAATATTAATTCTATTTTAATGGCTGACACATCGGAGTAATCAGCAGAATGCATCCTTAATATAAGAAATATATGATTGTAAGATATAACCCAGTCACCCAGTTATGTGGAACTTGATTCGGTTCAGCTTAACTGATCATTACAGAGCTAGTGGGGACATGATAATAGATAATTCATATATAGAGCTGCAGTAAACTTTGTATGCATTTTTGTTTAACTAGCTATATGAACTTCGCTACATGCTAAATTATTTGCTTTAGAAGCCCTGGAGTAATCATATTTTCCTTCGAATTGCAGGTTGTGATTACAAATCAGAGGTGATGTGGTACATTTCCTCCATTTAATTCAGAAGAGAAAATTTTTCCTACCGGTTAACAGAGACAGAAACTCCCACATCGTATTTAATGTTTGTTTCACTAATCCAAAAAGCCCGGACACCTTATATCTGTTAATTAGGAATTAAATATCATTAAAGAGAAAAGCGATAGTTTTCAAATAAGAAAATTTAAAAAATGTTTCTTTTTATCAGTACCTAATTAACTATACCTGTAGAAAGAAAAATTACTATACCCGTAGAATGAAACAAAAAAAAAGAGAAAAAAACAGCGATTAAGCTCAAAAGACAATTTAGAAGAAGAGCAAACATGTACATTTGAAAAATCAGAGATGGGATTAGGTGTCATGGGGAAGGAAGCCTCCTATGTCAACCGGTCTAACCCACTGTGTTCTCCTTGTCATGTCGGAAAAAAGGAAAGAAAAAGCGAAAATAATTCAATATCGGATTAATGACCCCACAATTTCAATGGCAAAAAGCCATCAGTCAGCATTTGTCTTAATGAAAGATTTATTTACTGCCAAGGTCATTGACTTTAATATGCAAAATGTTGACTTTAAACGAGACTGTTGATATTTTTTTTCGTCAACTTATTTTATTTTTATAACTTGCCTTGTTTTTTAAGTTGCTCATACGTAATACTTGCTAGATGGAACCAGCCAAGTAAACAGGTGACAATGGTTATGGCAACATAAAAAAAGGCACGTTTACGTTAGAAAAAGTTGAAGCCATCACGTTTAACACAATGTTTTGTTGGTATATATGTAGTTTGAAGCATGTAAAGAAACAAAGGGAATCGAAGCAAGAGTGATATTTATAATCTAAAAATATGACTTCACCAAAACATGAATAAAATATGATTAACTTTTGTTAGAATTACGAATTATAATTAAAGTTTTTCAGCTGGTTAAGTATATGTACAAGGGGATATATGTTGTCACCACTATTACTCTCAATCTATATTTTATGTCTTGCGGCTTTTCGTATCAACAAATTGCCTGGAAAATGACAAAATGCGCTGTATATTAAAATTATCGTTTTCTGATTATTTGAAATTTAAAAGTCACGACTACTAGTATACAGAAATGTAGACTTTTATTATTATCTTCAAGAAACCAAAAATACATGTATTATTTTAAAAGAAGCCTTGAACAAATTATAATAAAATAACACAAATGTTGGGAATATCTATAGGAATATTCTGTTTGTTGTTTCATAACATATACTCAACGACAAAATATATTGTCTAAAATGGAATTAAGAGAAGCAATGTATACATTGTGTTTAAATATATATATGTAGCCACGTCTCTAATCTTGGATAGAAAATGATAATAACTGGATTAAAATTTCTAAAATGAATCCAATATCTTAGAACAAGCACAGGTGTTTAAAATAATTGTTTGAATAGAAATATAATTAATATTGTTTATTGTATATCAGATAATTTTGATCCACAAGTCGAAAGTATTATTACTATTATGAAAGATTTAATAAGATCACTAAAATACCTTACTTATCACTTTTTTGGTGGAGGGTGCTTTGAAAACTTAATTTCTTATACTGGTTACAGAAAGTAGGACTCTCTCCCCCATATTCTTTAATTGAAAGAGGAAGATATAACAGATTATGTCATATTTGTGAATTATGGATATACAAGACAAAGAGTGAGTCATGGTTTCGTCTTAATTATGCATTTAAAATTTTATTTCGTTTTAAAATAAAGTATTATATAAGACATAAGTGGTTGCTTATAACGTGTCACTGAATGAAGTTAGATATGGAAAACAAGAAAGTTCTAGTATAGCTAAAGTATTTAAAATAGACTTAATATAAATAAGTTTTTCCAGTGTATTATGAAATTTCTGCTTTAAAAAAGAATAACTTTGACTTTTGGTCAAAAAACATAAATATGTGACATGAATCATGAAAAATCAATTGGAATTAGGGATCAGCTTTTACAAGGACATACATTTAGTTGAACCAGTTAAATCTAATGTACTACTAGTCTTCAAATAAGTAACTACAGGAATTTTTTATTTGCAAAGATAATTAATAAAGCAGAATACATAGGAAATGAGACAGGAACATTGTCACGGACAGATAAGACTGGAATTTTTAAAACATAAAGAAAATTCAAGAGTTTGCAGTTTCATAGTAATTAGACCAAAAGAAATAAGGTCAGAAATTACATTACGTGCAGTAAGGTCATGAAATAGATATATAAAATATATCACGTAACTATTTTGATGAATTTTACTGGAATATCCTTAACTTAATAGTATCCTCAATTACTTTTTTTCTTTTGTTACTTCCCAATCCTCGAGTAATAACCTTTGAAAATAATTCTGAAATCGACTGAAGCAGACTTGATAATTAATATCAAAAGTCAAGATGTAACATATCATTCAGAAAAATATCAAAAAGGTTGATGCTTCCAGAAAGTGCAGATTGTTTATAACATTTTCCCGAAATTAAGTTATTTTAAAACTCATTAGAATGTACGTGTTGATGTAGCGAAATGCACTTTGTTAAGTTTCCGAAAGTGTGATATTTATTTATTTATTGAATAGATTCTAAAATGAAATATAAGGCGATGGCGAACAGTATTTGAGGTCAAAAGTCCATTTATCAAATCAGGAACAGGGAAAATACGAACCTAAACATCAAAGGTTGGATCTGGTGCCATGAAGCAAAAACTGTTTTACATAAAAAAAAACTCACCCAATATCTACGGCTGGAACAGTTAAAAAATTTCACATTATTTAATGCATAAAATTCCGATACACACACGTATATTGGGTGTATCTATTACTCTTTAAAAAGGAAATAATATCTTGAATTTTAAATATCAGTTTATATCCTTCATTTATTACATATTTTCATTGATAACTGCATTTTCATTGCAGTGCTCGTAGAATCGATGTCAAGGAAATCCAACAAGTAGTTGAAGAAGACTGAACTTAATTAGAAAGCAATTATCACTAAAGATAACGGACGGTATATATAGCCTTAATTCATTTATATCGATTTAATTTATCGATATTGAGTATAATCTCCAATTTGTATCTTTACATAACAGCACCCTTCCTTTTGCTAGAGGGCGGAATGAAGAACAAAGCGCCACTTTGTTCAAAATCGAGATGCACAGATGTCAAAGGAGATATTAGCCACTTGTAGCGTTTGGTGGTGTTGCATTTCATTCATAAATTCTGAACCCAATGTGGTAGGCGTGTATTGATCCAAGAATATTGTCCATTCATATTCATGGAAGGTATTATAAAAGAATTCTTGACTTCAACACTATTGTTATAGAAACTAATTCATTTGAACCATGAATTTACACACTGATAAGATAGAATGTGTTTTTATATTATTTAATATTTTAATTGTTCATATAATAAGTGCAAAAATGACATCTCCGTACAAATTAAGAAATTTTATCTTGGAGCCATATATTGGAAAATCACAAAGTGGAATTGACAAAAATGGTGTGGCAATAATAAAGGTATGTATTGTTTCTTGGTTTATATCATTTTTGAAAAGACAATCATTTCAGCTCAAACCTGTCTCTTCAACAATTTTCATGTACTACAGTTTACACAGAGAGAATATCAGAATCATTAAAAAAATGTTTAATTATTGTGTCAAGAAATTGGTGCATACTAAATTTACTTTTTGAAGCATTTCTACTATCATTGTATAACATTAAGAAAAAAGTTAACTGCTTTTTTCACATACTTCTTTCATTTTATTCTTTTCATTTTTGACGTTTCATAAATGAAAGAAAACAGAAATACTAATTTCATGTGAAAATAGCATCATTTAAACCAATTTTATCTTACAATGTAGGTCAAAACAGACCAAGAAGGCTTTAAAATATTATTTAAATTCTTAGACGGCTTATAAAGCCAAAATATATTTAATTACGTTTATCTAATTTTTTCATCATTTGTAATCATCAAGATGAAAACTTCATTTTATATGCTTTACCTTGAAATTTCATTTCATTGCAACATTGTATTTAATGTAATAGACAACATTCACTAATATTGAACAAAATTAAATCAATTTGATTATAATATGCCTTCTAATTTTTCTTCAAGATATCGAAATTTAATACATCTGAAAAAAAAACCAACAAGTATATTCTTTCAATGAATTCGCAGACCCGTGGGGTTGGGTTTTGGTGTAAGGGCGATACTCTGTTGCTCAAAAAGTGAATTGCATCTTTTTTTTTGAAAATTTACTTCTTTGATCTTTGGAATCTACAAGGCAAACCTAGTGCTAGTTGTCATGACCAAGGTGCTCATATCTAAATATTTACATCCACTAAATATTGTCTCCTTTATTTCTTAAGTCATTGCCGTTAGTCAGTGCACGAACAACACTGAGCAACCCACGTGTGTATTTTTCTTGAACAATGGCTGTTCCATCAGTTCTACATGCAATGGCATATTCATCTTAAAAACATTACTTAACAAATTTAATTTTACTTTGAATGATTTTTAATACAGATATAAATATAAAAAATAAAATGTTTTCTTTGTTTGTTAGTACGGCAATTAACGTCGCAGCAATTTGCAGAAAAATTACATTACCCGCTTACGCGGGTTATGTATTTTTTCTGCAATAGCTGCGACGTTAATTCCCGTACTAACAACGAAAGAAAGCATTTTATTATTTAAGTGAATTAAAATCATCGCCAATTCATAAATAATATACTTTCATGAAGCCTATTATTACCATTATACATCGTATTTCAATCCAATTTCATTATAATTATCGAATCTACCTATCAGAAATCTTTACTAGTATTCAGTACATTGAAGGTTTCTCTACATGATATTACATAGGGTACTTCCTACTTGACTCCAATTTGAACTTATCTAAGTGCATTGATTAAGAGTTCCATCTTATTAAAATTGAATACTATAGTCTTATTTATCGATGTAAATGGATAAAATGACCATTAAATCAATTAATAAATATTGAGACTGAAAGTGAAAGATTGGATAGAGTGGGTGGATAATCAATTTCTGATAAAGTATTGTCATAAGATTTGAGGGTTCAGCAACAAAAACGAATATCATGTACGCTCTTCTGGTTAATATTATTATCAATCAAAGAATACTCAAAATTTCTCACCTTTACTTCCTTCTAAAAGGATATGCAAAATTTATGAACTCCACCTACGTAAATAAAGAGCATGTGGCATGTATCATTTCTTGAAAGTGAAGGAAAATGATAAATAGACTGTTAACATAGTTTTCTCATTTCTTACAGCAAATTCTGCTTTCAAGAAGTAGAAACAAACAAAATAATGAAATAGCGGACGACAAAACACAGCTCATTGATAAGAAAGCTCAAGGATCTTTGTTGGCATATCGGGTTTGTATTGCAAGGAATTTTCAAAATCCTTCAGTATCTTTTCTTGATATTGAAAGCCATATTAACATTAAATTGCCTGCTGAAATTTCACTTTCAATTTTTTAAATAAAATTTCTCGCGAATTCTAGTTTATAAAATACTATTTTATGTTCTCCATCATAATCATGATTTTGTCATTTCCTATATTTTTTTAACAACTGAATTTTGCAAAAAGAAAAAAAAAACTTTTAAATACAATGTATATCCCCATCTCCCCATCACCTTTAAGCTGAACACGACACTTAAATAGGCATACGCCATTTTCGATATCATTATCTACCATACATCAACACCCAGGTATTCTCTTCGAATTCGTTACACTTTACTGCTTTATTGTCACTGGTATCGGCGTGGAATGGCCACCCGTGTTCGTGCTGGTTATTTTGCATTACCTTTGTTTATATTTTATTGCAGTTACGCATATTTTTGTGCTTGTTCGAATACTGCAATGGCCTGTGCAACCATTGTAAGTGTCTTTAGTATCTTACTCTCCTGCATTGGATGAAGTACACAACTATTTTTTTTTTCGCTACTGAGTATCAAATAGCATAAGTCCATGTACACTGGTGGCAATTCATTACACTTAACAGTGACTAAGTGACCGTCTCTATTTATAGGGCCTGCAGATATAGCGAGAGCTCGAACATATATGGATGACAAATTCATTTTTACGAATCGTGTTCAGCTTTAAAGTATTCAATGTAAAACGACCATATTTTGCACCTTATAAATGAATGGTCCGATATTTTTAATTATGGTAGAATTTTAAAGATGTTATCAAATAAAAATGCTCCACCAAAGGAATTTACATAATTTTGATTATTGTCCAATTAATTTCACCTTGAATTTTATATTGAAGTCTATGGATAGCGCATGTTTTCATAAGATATTAAAAAAATTAATTTGAATTTCAATCAAATCTCTTGGTGAAAATATGTATAAACTCCCTCTTTATCAAACCATAAAATAAAATGAATTATTCACCGGAGAAAATTTGAGAAATCAAAAATTTTCTTAATTTTCATCAAGGGCAGATAACTCTTCAAAAACTTTTATTATGCAAAATGACTGTCTCTTTACATGTTATCAGACATATGAATTTGTTTCATTTCACTTTTATCGTTATCTAGCATTATGTTTTACCTAGTCTAGAATTATTTAAAATCATTCAAAATCCTTTCATTATACATTGAATACTTTAAGTTGAACATGTGTTGATCAAACCGTAAAATGTTTATGTAATAAATTTGTAAAATGTAGCAATTTTGCCAAATGAATGTTCCCTTTGCTTTGAATATATGCTTTAAGTGGAAACAGGTTTGTAAAAATGTGACACCTTGATGTCGAATCACTTTACAAGTACATAATAAAAAATTTTCAGCTTAAGGTTTTTACAAGGAAGGTAAAGAAAGCACTCTTTCGCAACTCTGGAATTTCCACGGTCCACTCCATGCCCTGTTGAAAAAATTCGTTATCTTCTCCTTTTTTTTTCTTTGGAACCAATGTGCCAAAATGGCAAATTTGCATTTATCCGTGTCAATGCTATATTAATCAAGTTTAAAAACTTTTCTATTTTATCTTATTTTTTAAAGCCATACGTCCATGTGATTATAGATGGGAGAACTGACGTCACCGATGGCCCCTTATATCAAACAGACGTAGCGTTGTCACCGGATATGACGTTGTACAACGCCATAGCGGAAGCCAGTGTGCGCTTCCGTGTAGAACATCCGTGTGTACAGAACCCTTTCAGAATGAACGTGCAGCGTATTAGTAGTAACTGTTATAGTGTAGTGAATGTCCCAGGTGTTGCCTCTGACAGGAGTTACAGGTGGATAGTTAAAATTGTACGGAGAAGAGGCAGGGTATGTGAAAGTATTTAAGTTTCACCCTTAACAAACTACAATCCTAATTAAATATTTCTGTTGTGTCACTAAAGGATTCATATAATTTTGTAATGTTCTTGTCTGAAACCCGAACTCTCGGTTCCTGTAGTTAGCAACAATTGACCAGAATAATGGACCTTAACATACGTATCAATCGAAAAGAAGTACTTAAAATCAATTCGTCGAAAGATGCGAAATTCAATATTGATTATATATATTGGGAAATTGTTTATACATGTGAAATCACATGTATTTCATGTAGCGTTTATGCTACTTAGTATGTTGGACACAAAGGTTGCTTAAATTGTACTGGAATATTTACCTATCGGTAAAACATACTGGATTTTCGTTGCCGTCTTACAATTTTTCATAGCAGAATGCCTCAGAGTTCCGTAATGATTATGTATACTCTATAAACAAAAAAAAGATGCGTTATTCTTTCATGAAAGCTACATCGCAATTTTTTTCAAACAGATTATCTTCATTGCTAAAAAAAATAGATTTTGAAAAGAGATTAATTGAATTTTACACTTTTTTAATTTCATTTTTAAAGTGAAACAATACTGTTTTTTCACTTAAAATTTAAAATTATATAATAAGCAATACATCTCATAGTAAATCCACGTTAACTTCGAAAAACCTGGGTTGAAACACGTCGTTCTTTTTATATCATAACGCTTCACGGTTTATAAAGCGTAAATACATGTATAAAATGTCTATACTAAAGATATGCAGAATAATTTGATTATAACTATTTAATTTGTTTCTTAAATAATTGTTATTTAAACGATATTAAATTTTGATATTCATACCATCAAATTGCTAAAAATGTAAAGGTTAAACATGTACTCAGTATTTCTTTGAAATATTTATATAAAAATATAAATGACAAAAACTTCTAATTGATAAAATCATGAATATTATACTCTAGCAATCAAACATAGCGCTTTTTCAATAAAAATGTCGAGAAGAAATGGGTATATTTTATTAATATTGAATGTTTTAAAGAAAGAATTTGAAGTGTTCAAAGCTATTATTTCAAAGTTTTTTGGGTCGGTTTTAGTCATCAAAATTTATTTTTAAAAATTATTTTATTTCTTCTCCTTTATAAAGTGTACAATGCATTCAAAAATTCAAGAAAATGTGTTTTTTGAAAGTTTTATAAACACCATTAAGTTTACCCTCATCAAGCGTGTACTTTAAGAGACTGCACTTTCAGATTTTCTGACATTCAATACAATTCAATGAAATTTAGATTTTGTCATAATTTAACTTACCAGTTAATAAATAAGAGGCCCACGGGCCTTATAGGTCACCTGAGTATCATGTAACAACATTCCAACAATTGAATTGGTTGTGTTTTAAATCAAAGGCCATGAAATTCAAAATTTTGAAAGAGACATGATTGCTTATCATAACTATACACTTAACTTGCTTACTTTGGTTACTTAATACCCAGAGGTAGATCAGAGAAAATGCATTTTCACTTTATAACCAGCTGTGCGCCCCACGCCACAGGAACCACTGACCCTGCAGGCACATATTTCAAAATTCTGGAAATTTATTTCATCAAAAATGGTTGATTAATACCAAAAACAGATTTCAAAGCATTAATTTATTTTCAGACTATGTAACCCCCAGCCCCAGTACCCTGACCTAGGGGCCCTGAAATTAACCATTTTGGAAGAGGCACCTTTCATCATCATTAATATGTACTTAGAGCACTGGCATACTACCCAGGAGCAAAAGGAAAAAGTTTTCGAAGAATGCATGCATTTTCACTATATAATCATTAGAGCCCCACCTTAACACTAAAACCCCTGACCCTGGGGCCCTGAAATTCACAAATCTGGAAGAGGCATCCTACCTCATCATAACTATGTACATAGTTCATTAGTTTAATACTCAGGAGCAGAGAAGAAAATTTTTAAACAATTAATGTATTTTCACTATATAATCAATAGAGCCCCACTCTAACCCCAGAACCCCTGACCCTGAGGCCATAAAATTCACAATTTAGAAGAGACGCTCTTCTGCAAGATAAAAATGTACTTAGTTTGTTTAATACTCAGTAGCAGAGAAGAAGATTTTCAAAGATTTATGCATTTTCACTATATAATTAATATAGCCCCGCCCTAATACCAGAACCCCTGACCCGGAGGCCATGAAATTCACAATTTTGGAAAAGGCAGCCTTATTCAATATAACTTTGCATTTGGTTTGTTTATCAAATACCCAGGAGCAAAGAAGAAGATTTTCAAAGAAATAATGCATTTTCACTATATAATCTATATAGCCCCGCCCTAGAACCTAAGAACCCCTGATCCTGGGGCCATGAAATTCACAATTTTGGAAGAGGCAGCCTTATTCAACATTACTATGTATTTGGTTTGTTTATTAAATGCCCAGGAGCAACGAAAATTTTCAAAGAAATAATGCATTTTCACTATATAATCTATACAGCCCCGCCCTAGCACCTAAGAAAACCTGACCCTGGGGACATGAAATTCACAATTTTGAAAGAGGCAGCCTTATTCAACATAACTATGTACTTAATTAGTTTATTTAATGGCCAGGTGCTGAGAAGAAGATTTTCAAAGAATTTATGCATTTTCACTATATAATCTATTTATATAGCCCTGACCCTGGGGCCATGTATAAATTCACAATTTTGGAAGAGGCAGTCCTCAACATTACCGTACCAGGGCCATGAATTTCAAAGAAATAAATTTTCACTATAATAAATTAAGCCCCGCCCTAGCACTAGAACTCCTGACCCCAGGGCCATGAATTTCACAATTTTGATCAATGCTGATTACAATCATGCAAACAGTTTGACTGCTTGTTGTACAGGAGTAAAGAGGAAGATTTTTAAAAATTGCATTAATTTTAGTGGTTTTGGCCCCACCCCTAAGGCCCCAGGGGGGCAGGGACCATGAAATTCATAATTTTTGTTCCCCTTCACCCATAAATGCTTTATGCCAAATTTGGTTAAAATTGGTTGAGTGGTTGCAGAGAAGAAGCTGAAAATGTTCAAAAGTTAACGCATGACGCACAACGCACGACGACGGACGAAAACGGATAGCAATAGGTCACCTGAGTTTACTCAGGTGACATAAAAATGGAAATATTTGACAACTAGGTTCTTGTTCAAGGAATACATGAACTTTGGTTAGAAATACAGGTATAAACTATAAGTGCTAGAAGAAAAGAATGATAAATGTACATCAGAAAAGTACACAGACGAAAGAGTAAAGCATTGCATTTTGAATATTTTTTTATCAATTTAAATAAAATCATTTGATTTCTTTAAAACAATGTATTCCGGTCATATTAAATTTTTTCGTTCATTCTTTGATTTCTCTATCAAGGATTAAAATAAAATTACACTTGTACATTCATTACTTAATTCATTAGAATCTCTAAATACCATTGTTAATTTAGAGAAAACTATATTCAGATCACAAACTCCAATGTACATCTAGGCATTGTATATATATGTATACTAAAAACAAAGATTTTAAATATTGAAAATGATGCATTTTGTGTCTTGATACTTAAAAATATAAAGTAGACTGTTTTGTCGTTACAGGTTATATATGAAAATGAATGCTTACCAAGTGGACGAATTTCCATGAGAGGAGGAACAACGGTTACGTTCAAGAAAACAAGCTAGAAAATGTCGGAAAAAATCTGTGTTCACAACTCTTACTATTAAAATTTCAAAATTCCAATAACATGTAAAAGTTTTATATATCTATACAAACATATACATTATCTGATTGAAGCGTCATGCACCCCAGTGTTTAAACATGCAAATGCTTGTAACATAAATTATCAATCTTGATTGATCTGGGGTATATTTCAATATGTCCATTTAACAGAGAGGTGAGACATGGACCATAAAGAAATAAGATTTTCAATAAATGTGGATGAACTGCAGTGAATATAGGAAATTCAATTAATGCATTTGTAATTCTCATTTCGTTCCATATCCTCTATCAACTTCTTAAATACAATGTTATTTCTCGACCAAAAATAGTAAATACCCCTACAGTAATAGAGGAGGTAATGTATTGTTGCAATTTGCTTTTGTACATGTATATTAATTTGTTAATAATCCTACTAGAAACTTACTGTAAATATGTACAAAATTATTGTAACTCTTCATATATTACAATATGTTTTTAACTTCAAGCAAAAATAGTATTGATAGTAAATAATTGATCGTTCAAATCAGTGATTTAATAAAAGGCATGAGCTGAATGAAATGTAATAAAGTGGACGATAACATATAAGATCTAAGTCATATTTGTCATATCATGCAAGGAACTATTTTTGTACAGTGTATATGTATGACAGTTACTGCTCGGTAAATATTCCGGAACAGTCACAAAAATTCACCATCTATCTCAAGAAGCGAATGCTGTTTTATTTCCTTTTTAATTTCAAACCTGACATGTTTACACATGAAACATGAAAAGGCATGGATTTAACACAGGAAAGAGCATTTCGTGACTTTCACCAAACTCAGATTTAGGAATCATTTAGCTTAAATGAAATGATAAAAGCGTCATTATTCAAATCCTTTTTTTTTAAAGTCATATAAGGCGTATTTTTGATAAGTTCAGACTGACTAAAATTAGAAAGATATTTCTATTTGTCTTTTTTAATTTATATAAAGATAGGACTTAACTGCAGATTACACAATTTAAATCAATCGCGTTTGAAAGATATCCGAGATTTAAAACAGTAACCGATTTTAAAAAGTCAATTTAACTATAGAAACGTGGGGATATTCAAGTTCCGAATCGGCAAAAAATCTAATTTGAACGTAAATAGCAAATATCGTGTAAATCTACACTAAGTCCTTAGCTCGTATTTTTATTTTTTAGCTAAGAAACGCCATATATAACTTTAAAAAAAATAATCAACTTTATCATGCAACACTTGTTGCTATACACACAAATCAAAGTTATGTTTTGTGACAATTGCGTAAGTATTGATGTGCCTATCTTATTCAGCTCTCTACGAAGGACAGGACAACAAAGTTGTTACAGTTAAAAGTCAGTGTAACAATTTTCATCAATAAGAAGTTCTTATGATCTAATGAAATTGAGATGTTTTCGACGCGTTAAACCATTTGTTGAATTGTTGAATATTGATTCAATACCAAATAAAGATAAATTGTCTTAACATCCTGAAAGTGTCTGTGATGTGTTTTGTGAACAATACTTCTTAAAAATGCTACATTTCAAAACTAATTGACGTAAATATACGAGATTTTGAGGTTGTTTTAATAAAATTATATTTATCATTGACGGCGCTATTTATTCACGCGTACACGAAATGTGGTATAATCACTAATCTGTATTTTTCAGCATAAAAGATAAAAACATGTATAAAATAATAATGATAATGCATATATATAGTAAAAAGTATAAATTATCGTGTCATTATTGAAGTATATTATATTCTTTTGACAATCAACATATATATGCACTTTTAACAATTCGTTGTGAAAAAGAATTGTTTAAATTGGTTTATTTTAGTACATTTTCTTCTTTATATCCAACTGGTTATTATGAGAGTGGAAGAATATATCAATATCCACAGGTACTTGTTTCTAAGATAAAGAAGTTACCTCAATAGTACATATAATCATATTACTAAATGGCATTAACAATCTTAATAAAAAAAAAGTACCTGTGATCCTCATTTAGTTTCTATTGATATATTTATAGAGTAAATCACAGAAAAACAGATATAAGTTTACAAGGGGCTATAGAGCACTAAAATATGTTTTAATATGCAAATAAAAAAATTGCAAATTACAATACGTCCATCAGATAAACCATATATTACCACAGAAATTCGTAGGAAAATAAGGCAAAGAAAAAGAATTCATAAAAAGGCTAAGCATACTAAAAATCCATTACACTGGCAAAAATTCAGACAAGTCCGTAACGAAGTAATAGACTTAGTACGGAAAAGTAGGAAGGAGTACAAAATTAAACTTGTTTCACAACTCACTGACAAATCTATTCCACCAGGAAAGTGGTGGCGTACAGCAAAATCTGTTGCAAGGTTAAAGAAACAAAGCTCTCCCCATCCTCTATTAAATCACAAGATGGAAGAATACTGGCGCATCCAACTGATAAAGCTGAAGAATTTAATAATTTTTTTCTCTAATATATCACATATTGAAAATGAGCCAGATTTGCCCGAACATGGAGCAGGACCTCCAGACTACTTCTGTGATTTTGAAATATATGATCAAGATGTTCTTGATCAGTTAAGCATACTTGATCCCTCTAAACCATGTGGACCAGATGGAATTCCTCCCAGAATATTAAAGGAAACCCGTTATTCCATATATAAACCTCTATGTAGATTATTTAACCTATCACTTACAAATAAAGTTCTTCCATACATATGGAAACAAGCACATATTTCACCCATTTTTAGGTCACCTATATATTAAACTAAAACTTTGGTCGGCCATTTTGACCTATTGCAATCTGTTTGAACAAACTTGAATCGTCGTGCGTCGTGCGTTGTGCGTTGTGCGTCCAGCGTTGTGCGTTAACATTTGAACATTTTCAGCTTCTTCTCTGCAACCACTGAACCAATTTCAACCAAATTTGGCCTAAAGCATCTATGGGTGAAGGGGAACAAAAATTGTGAATTTCATGATCCCTGCCCCCCTGGGGCCTGATGGATGGGGCCAAAACCACTAAAATTATTGCAATCTTTAAAAGTCTTCTTCTTTACTCCTGGACATCAAGCAGTCAAACTGTTTGTATGATTGTAATCAGCAATGAGTCCTCTACCAAAATTGTGAAATTCATGGCCCTGGGGATCAGGGGTTCATAGTGCTAGGGCAGTGGGCTAAATAAATTTTAGTGAAAATGCATTATTTCTTTGAAAATCTTCTTCTCTGCTCCTGGGTATTAAATAAACTAACTAAGCACATAGTTATGATGAGCAAGAAAAGTGCCACTACCAAAATTGTGAATTTTATGGCCCCAGGGTCAGGGGTTCTGGTGTTAGGGCGGGGCTAAAAAATATTGATTATATAGTGAAAATACATGAATTCTTTGAAAATCTTTTTCTTGCTCCTGGGTATTAAATAAGTTAAAACTAACAACATAGTTATGATGAGCAAGAGTGCCTCTACCAAAATTGTGAATTTTATGGCCCCAGGGTACGGGTTCTGGTGTTAGGGCGGGGCTCTATTAATTATATAGTGAAAATACATTAATTCTTTGAAAATCTTCTTCTCTGCTCCAGGGTATTAAATAAAAACTATATTTATGATGAGCAAGAGCTATTTATTCACTCTACCAAAATTGTATAATTTTATGTATTTTTCAGCATTTTCTAGTGTTAGGGCGGGGCTCTAAAAATGATTATATAGTGAAAATACATGAATTCTCTGTAAAAATCTCCCATTTTCTCTGCTCTGAATGGGTATTAAATAAACAAAAATATAAGTGCATAGTTATGAAAAGATAAAGAGGCCTCTACCAAAATTGATAATGCATATATATTTGTAAAAAGTATAAATTAGGGTCATTATTGAAGTATATATTATTTTTAGGACAATCAACATATATATGCACTTTTAACAATTTATATTGAAAAAAATTGTTTAAATTGAATTTATTTTAGTACATTTTCTTTTATATCCAACTGGTTATTATGAGAACTAAGAATATATCAAGTGCATAGTTATGATGATAAAGAAGTTACCTCTAAAAGTACATATAATCATATTTATGGCATTAACAATCCAATAAAAAAAAGTACCTGTGATTATTTAGTTTCTATTGATATATATAGTGAAAATCAAAAAAAATATATTTTAAATTTTCTATCTAAAATATGTTTTAATATGCAAATAAAAAAATTGCAAATTACAATAGTTATCAGATAAACCATATATTACCACAGAAATTGTGAAAATAAGGCAAAGAAAAAGAATTCATAAAAAGGCTAAGCATACTAAAAATCCATTACACTGGCAAAAATACTGAAAATGAATGTAATGGTTTGAAAGTCTGCTCAAAATTAAACTTGTTTCACAAATCAAATATCAAGGAAAGTGGTGGCGTACAGCAAAATCTGTGTGGTTAAAGGGGCTCTACTGATCTATTAAATCACAAATATTACTGGCTGCATCCAACTGATAAAGCTGAAGAATTTAATAATTTTTTTCTCTAATATATGCATATTGAAAATGAGCCAGATTTATTAAGTAAACAAACTACTTCTGTGATTTTGAAATATAATGTATTGTTATGATGATAAATGGTGCCTAAACCATGTTCAAAATTGTCCCAGAATATTAAAGGAAATCTGTTATTCCATATATAAACTATGTAGATTATTTAATTCAATCACTTACAAATTGTTCATAAACATATGTGAAACAAGCCACATATTTCACCTATTTTTAAAAATAAAGGCTGTCCCCAACAACCTAATAATTACAGACCAATATCATTGACTTGTTCTATATTTAAACTAATGGAAAAAATACTTTTTAAATATATGTTCAATCATATTAAAGAACATGACTTATTGTGTAAGTACCAATCTGGGTTCCAACCTGGGGATTCTACTGTTAACCAGTTAGTTGAAATATATGATAAAATTATGTCAAACCTTGACAGAAGCAGAGATATACGTTTTATATTTTGTGACATTTCCAAAGCTTTTGACAAGGTATGGCATAAGGGAATGATTTTCAAACTTAAAAATTTTGGTGTTAGAAGTAACATACTGGGTTTGATTGAAGACTATCTTACTGAAAGACAACAAAGAGTGAATTTAGAAGGCTTTTCATCAGCATATAAAACTATAGATGCTGGGGTACCTCAGGGGTCTGCACTGGGTCCCTTCTTGTTTTTGTTATATACAAATGTTATAGCTAAAGATATATCTTGTAATATTCGACTGTTTGCTGATGATACTTCTTTGTTTGCTATTATAGACAATGATATCAATACTCCAACAATGTCCCTTACTCAAGATCTTGAAAAGATAAGAAAATGGTCCAAAGCTTGGGCTGTAGATTTTAATATTGAAAAAACTGTGAATGTTGATACTCATGTTCATTTAGGATTACAATTTCAAGCAGATGGTTCTTGGAATAATCATATATTGATTATATATGAAAAGGCATGTATAAGATTGAATATTATTAGGTTACTGAAACATAGTATAGATAGAAATTCAATAATAAAAATTTATTTTGCCTTTATAAGACCAAATTTAGAATATGCTGATGTTGTA